TATATATATATATATATATATATAGGATCTGGGCAATGTGTCCGTCATAGCCGTCTTAACAATATTGGGGGTCTAAAGCCAAATTTCACATAGAAGCCCTAAGTAAGAATATCAAGGAGTGTACGCAGACCTTACCTCTACCTTGGGAGACTGAGAGATTGTTTCCGAAAGACTCTCGGCTCAAGAAAAAGCATGGCAAAGAAAAAGTTAGATAAGGACAATCAATTCAATGCAGTATGAAAATGAAAGTAACCAAGGCGAATAAGTCATGATAAAGCAGTCTAAAAAGGAACAGTAGCTATCACACATAAATAAGATAATCAAAGTACAAGAAACAATAGATAGAAACTATAGAGCAAGATAAGTTGATATAATGATATCGAAAAGTGTTGCATTGCTTCAATATAATGATTGCTTGTTGTAATGCTTGATATTTTGAAGAAGACAACTTGTAAGCCGCGGTAAGTTGCCGATTGAGAGTCTTTTCAATAGTGAGAATAGTAAAAGAGAAAATGAATAAGGTAAATATATTAGTTGTTAAGATATAAATGAGGCAAAAATATAGCTACCCTACCCCCGTAGGAAACCATTCTCTAATTATTACAACAATCCTCACATTAAAGTTATTGTACTTTTGCTCCAAAAATTCTTTTTAAATTTAAATGTACACACATTTTTTTTAATAATACATATACAATAATAAATCCTTAAGGAAAAAAGGGGCCTCCAAAAAGTTGGGGTCCAAGTGATTGCTTTACTGACCTTATAGTCGAGTCATCCATGGTGCCCGTCGTCAATACTGTGGATCTGTCACTGTGTGCATAACAGATCAAAAACATCGACGAATGTAGCGTTACGACATCAAGTTCATCTCACTCCAGTATTTTTGATGCGAAGAAAAGATTTGTGTAAAAGTCCACAAATATTGCAACAAATATGTACATATAAACCTATAATTTAAAAAATACAATAAATTCAATACCAAGAACCTCAATCGTTAAAGCTATAAAGCTTAAAATGGATCCCCCTCTATTTGGCTATGTGAATTCAACTAAATATCATATTGAAAAACAAAATATATATATACACATAATAAGATCCCGCTTTTTTTCTTAACTAATTCGCTTCCGTTTGGCTAAATCTTGCTTCCTCTTTGAAAATTCGGATTCAGAATTTCTTTTCTTTTTCCTTTTATGCATGTTTTTTCTTTTAAATTTGTTTATTAATTACTGTTTATGCGGATAAATATACATGTTTGCTTGGTCATAAAAGCTACTCCCTTCGTCTCAACACTTAAACTACAAGGTCCAAGTATTGTGAAATTAGATACTATTCCTGTTAGATTTATCAAGTTTTCCTAAAGAAATTTTATATATGTAAAAGCTACGTAAAATTATTACTGAGTTAATATAAATTCTTAATAAAAATGTTTATTCAAATGTTTAAAATTCATATCAATTTAAATGTTTAAAAGTTTCAAAAGTTTCCTCGTAAATATTGTGTGTCAAAATGAGTTCACATAAATTAAAATACATGAAGTATCATAATAAAGAATGTATTATTCCTTAGTGGGTTCATTCGGTACGAGTGAAAATTAATCGCACCAATGAATTTGGATATCGAATTACAACGTTAACACTAGACATTTCTGCATGCTTCTTCGTGTTTTTTTTTTACCTTTGCCCAGGAGCTCCTTGCTTTTGACTTTACTCTTTAGTGACTCAAACCCGCAACCTCAGAATTGAAGGTGGAGAGTATTTACTGTTTACAACTTAAGCAACCCTCTTTTGTTACTTTCCAAATCCACAATCTCATAATTAAAGGTCGAGAGTGCTCACCATTTGAGCAATCATTTTTTGTCTCCTTTTTGTTTTTTGGTCTCCTGCTTTCATTGGTATAATTGTTTTTTTTTTTTATGTTCTACAGGATAGCCTGCTTTTCTGCAATGGGTCCAGCATTTGCTCCCACTCCTTTCTTGATTTGATGTTGGGACTAATCCAAATTACCATCCTGCTCTCTTTTGTTTTGTAAATTTAAATTCTGTATATGGTGTAAAGTTTTTTTTTTCTTTTTTCATTTCTCTTCAATTTCCATTATGTTCTCTCTCCCTATCTGTATTAATGCAAGGACTGTAATATTTGTAAAAATGAAAAGGAAAAAAAAATACTCCAAAACTATATTAAGTGTATATGGATAAACTTATTGAGAATGTTTGTTTAATAAGTACTGAATTGTGGATCTATGACACTTCTGAAAAATCCATAATGGACTTTGTCCCTTCGCCTATAGACGGCGGCTTGGCTTTGCTATCGCTAAGACTTGGTACAGAGTCGTGTAGTCATTTGTTTTTATCATCAGAATGCCTATGAGATAGAGATCGGCCTTATAAAACTTGTTAAGCCTCACTTTCATCTCCCCTTCTCTTGTTAAGTGGAAAACGATGTGACCTCAGATGCTTAAACATGAAAGATACTTTGTGATGTATGGAATTTAGGTTAAAATGTTCTATATGGCGATTAATTTCTTGTTTTTCCCTCGGTATTTCGAAACTCACTTTGAGACTTGACTAATCCAGACTTGTATTTCAGATAATGAAACTATACAACTAAGTAGCAAAAAAAATGTTGAGAGAGACTAGACTGGGACATTAACAATACAACAAAAATAATTACGCTTCAATCCCAAATTGTTGATGTTGGACCTCGACAATAAACTAAATAAAATTGACAGTAGAAGGGCAATTGTATACGAGTTAAACTAATGCTACTTGTTAATATACTTGGAAAGTATCATATTTGGAAAATTACTATATTTGGATATACTTTAAGTTTAAATTTCTCATTTTACTCTCAACCATATGATTTTGTAGTCACAAATGTCATACTATATTTAAGACCTAAGTTCCAAAAGTTAATCTATATCTATCTATCATCTATATTTATATTATATTAGAAGAGCAAAGATCCTTAGTGTCACACCTCCTGAGGAAACGAGTTTTTCCAATTAAAATGACATTATTTGAAAAGAGATTGATTTATTTATTTTAAGAGTCGCCACTTGGAATTATTTATTTAGGGTGTTCCAAGTCACCAATTTTGAAATCCCAATTCAAGGAAGTTTGACTCTATTTACGGTCCGCGAACACAGAAGACCGGTTAAAGAATTCTGTTAACCCGGAAGAAGGTGTGAGGCACTCCCGGATTCTGTGGTTTTAGCACGGTCGCTTAACAAATTACACTCGGCTTAATTGTCCAATTATAACATGTTTTAGACATATTGTGCATTTTTGCCCTTTTACCGCTTTTAGCAAATATATTGGCCATTTTAATTATTTATGGAATTTATTTGAACAAGTTACGATGTCGTATACTTGTCGTTTTGTACTCATCGCAGATCGTATTGCGTGAAACGCACCCGCAATTTACGACATATTTATTCTATTATTATTTGAAGTTCGGGTCAAGTCACGCGAACGTGCACTTGAAATTGGGGGTTACGTATCATGATTATGCCACGAGAACCGTACCCATAGTCATAGTGATTTAATATTAATCGTGTTTAAAGCAAGCTACGAGGTTTATAAATGACTTAATCTAAGGTTTGAGGTTGATTGTAAAGGTCTGTGAGTTATGGAATTCTATTGTGCAAAAGGATATAACTTAGTTATGGAAAAATGGAATTTTTATTAGCTCTTGGCGAACTAGACATAAATTATCCAAGTCCAACTGGCCGAAAATCCTCATGCTTCAAACCACACTACACGGTCCCTTTGCTAAACAAACAAATTTAAAACAAAAGGCTCAAATATTCGAGTAAACCATCTACTAACTTAGTGCATAAAGAGATGTAGCGATCAAGAAAGAACCTTCATTTGCGTAAATTTTACGAGTCATCATCACATGTGCNATATAAACTATATTCGATATACTATATATACTATACTATATATACATCTTAAGATATACTATACATACTATACTACATATACATCTTAAGATATACTATATATACATCTTAAGATATACTATATATACT